TGGGCACGGGGGAAGCGTCAGCCTCGCGGGTCTGGGCGCTGCAGCCCAGGAGCGTCCGCGCAGAGCACCGGGGATCGCCAGGCCCGGTGCTTGACCCGGGACGGGATCCAAGTCTCCCTCGGCCCGTCCCTTCGCCGCCCGGCCCCCCTCGGTCTTAGAAGGAGCGGAGCCCCCTGCGTGAGCTGGCTGGGGCTTGGAGGAAAGTTGGGCGGAAGCAGGAGTGCGGGGTCTTGCGGGAGTCCTCCCTCCGCTCCCAGGCGCGCGCCGGCAGCGCCGTCTCCCCGATCGATCTCGACGCCGACTGCGGCCGCGGGGGAGCCAAGGAGGGGAGGCTGTTGGGCAGGGGGAGATTTGTGCGTGGGGCGGGCAAACCTGCGTGGCGCGCCCTCCTCCTCGCCCTCCCTCGCCCCCTTCTTAGCTGGATTTCAGCTGCTGGGCCTTGTTGGGGGGGTTGAGGGCACCCTCCTGTCCTCACCAGTCCCCCCCCTCCCAAAGCTAGTGCACCCTTCCCGGCTGGAGTTGGATGGAAGGAAAGCCGGCTTCATCAACCACTGCCCTCCTTCCTGCTTGGCAGATTTCGACATTCAATGCTATGCTTTGTGGAAGGATAGATCAGTCGCCAGCTTTCACTCCCCTGGACTCTCCGCTCCAGAGAGGTGGATTGCCTCTTTATCCCCAGACAAGGGGCAGCGGGGGACGCCTGGGCCTGATTTTATGCATCGCCGCCATATGCTGCTTGATTGACCATTTTTCTTAGTAGAGTGGCCACAGACCTTGACCCTTTTTCTCCTTGGGGGTAAATTTGGTCTCTTGATCAGTCACTTGCCACATTTGTACTCTTTCTCGTTCCGCAAAATGGTTTCTGCAGTACAGTGACAAGAACCATCTATGACCATCTTCCAACAGGGCTTCTGCAGCGACGTCTGGTTTTCTAATCGTGCCCATCGTGGAATTAGTGGCCTTTTTCACAGCAGTAGCACATTACATTGACAATCTTGGGAGTTGTGAGTCAGTGAGTTGTGGGAACCGGGGCATTAGGATAAGCCAGAATAGCGGATGGTTGTTTGTTTGAGGGTAGCGTGCTTGGGCTGGGTTAACCTGAGGGCACTGGGCTTTGTGAACCAGCTGCAGTGTGGGCACCTCGGGTATGTGGGAGACTCGCTTGTGTTCCAGAGTGGAGAAGAGCTTGCCAGGTTTGGGCTGCGTGTCCAGGAAGCTCGTGGTCTCCGTCTGCAATTGTGGTTGTCACCAAGCCTTTTGGATGACTCCAGACTTCCTTGGGACCCGTTGCTGGGGCATGTGCTCTTAGAGACCCCCGCCCCCTCATCCTGGTATACCAGGACCCCATAACGGTGGCATACCCCAGTTGGGGGGGGAGTAGGTCTGGTCTTGTGGAGACAAGGCAGGATGGAATCTTCTGGGGAGGAGGATGGTTAGACTGTATAAGCTTTCTTTAGCACGTCAGGGCTCTGTTTTTAGTAACCTTCCATTTAATTTGTTTGTTTCAGAATTGGCCGGGGAATGGGTGCCAACGCAGCAATTTTTTTTTTTTTTTTTTTTTTTTTTTATTCAGGACCAGAGTTGTTGTTTTGCTTCTGTGTTGCTGGGGAGTGTAGGGCTCAGATGAACTGAGGACCGCAGGGGGCTGCACAGGCCTCCGAAGAGGGCATTTTAGCAAAGGTGGCAGCTGCTGGCACTGCGGCTAAGGGGACAGACAGCCTCCCAGGCAAGGCCGCGCCCTCCTTGGCTTCTGCACTGGGCCTTTGGCTATGAGGCAAGGGCACGGGCGGGTGTGCTGGCCTGTGTTTCCTGACTTCATATCCCCCACCACCACCATTGCCTCACTGCTGTCAGCGGGAGCTGGTTTGTCTGCCTGCTGCCGAGGGATCCTGGAAAGTTATTCCCTCAGGCCCCAGATTCTGTGGCTCAGGCCCAGCTGCTGAGCGGCTCAGATGGTTTGGGAAAGCCTGGGAGGAGTACCCAGTACGTCTCTGGGTGTCTGTCTGCTCTTCCCACGCCAAGCCTTGCTGTGCCCGGAGCTCCCACTCGCCTCCCAGCTTCTCAACCTAACAAGAGTGCTGCTAGCTGGATATCCACCCACGGGTCCTCTGCCATGGAGCAACCTTCTCCAGACACCTCTTGAGTCTTTCCTGGCTGGGCCCAGGCTGTGGCATCCAGGGTAGGACTGGCTGCATCTTGCCTGCACAGGCATCATGAGAACGGGAATTGTGTCCGCTTGTGTCAGCCCCACTAGGAAGAGCGTGTCAGGAACCAACTCCACAGGACATCTACCACTACTGTTACTGAGACAGGCTATACTAACAGAATCATGCAAGTCTGATTGTGCAGGCCCTCCTCCTGATACTTCAGCAATTGAGGGAGGCGCCTGTCTGAGCCGCTTCCAAACGTTATCTGGATGTTGTGGACCTTTAAAAATGCTTCAGCCCCTTTTGCCTGGGCAACACATCCTGCATCTCTCTGTCAAGGTCATCTTCTTCACTCTGCCCTTTGCCTGTTCATTTGTGGGGCAGAGGGGGGAGCCTTCAGCAGTTGTACAGTATTGGCTTTGTGGGGGGTGGCAGGAAAAAACATAAAAAGCAAAGCATTCAGCACTACAAACTGAACAGCAGCAGGGTCCGTTAATTGCGGTGTCAGCCGGAAGCCACCTTCAGTCTTGGGGCTCCAGTCATGCAAGGTTTCATGCGGACGGAGCCCCTGCGAAGAAGGTCTGGCTCTTGGGTTGACCCAGCTAGGGCGTGCTGCTTGAGCAGGGCCTCCAGGACCGAGTGAAGGCTGGGGGCGGGTGGTCTTCCCACTAATCTGGTCCCAAGAGGTTGGGGTTTTAGTGGCACCACAAACCTTCTGAGCTGGGAGCATTCGTGCTTGGGCTCTGACTTCCTGGCCGCCCGAAGCAGCATTGCTGAAGCTTCTGAGCGGCCCCGCAAAGAGCACACGGCGGCCGCCAGCAGCAGGAAGCCCTGAGACTCAGAGGAGCTTCTTGGCCTTTCCAGAGACGGCTGCACCTCTCAGAGCGGCCAGCGTGGCTGGGCTGACTTTTTGGTGGGCTGTTTGGTGCTTCTTTGATGGTGCTTCTCCCTCTCTCAGGACACATGATCTGCCTGGGCCAGTCCACCTTCCTTCGGTTCAATCACCCAGCCGAGGCAAAGTGGATGAAAAGCATGGTGCCTGGGGGTCGGCAAAGCCCCATGGCCCAGTATGGACTCAGGGCAGGTAGGTCCTTTGCATGAGTGGGTCTAGGGGGGTCCTGGGTCCCCTCCTCACCTGGCTCCCCTGCACTTCTGGCCTGGCTGAGCTGCAGGAGAGGCATACCCAGCCCCTGAGAGGAACGCTTGGAGTTGGGCATCTGGAGAGGCTCTTTTGGGAGGCAAGGGTGCAAGGTGGGCTTTGCCTCATAGGGATGGGGGCTCAGGTGCACATGCGGTGATGGGGGAACGGGGGAGGGAACTGGGGACCTCACTTCTCCCTTCCAAGACTCCTTTCTCTTTGCAGCAGAGTGGCAGAGCCCCATAAATGGCAACTCCGAGGGGGCACCGCTTTCCCTGCCCAGCCCCCAGACCCTGGTCAGTTCCATCGAGAGGGACCTGCAGGGCATCATGGATTCCTTGGTGCTGGAGGAGGACAGCAGCAGCAGCGGCGTTGCAGTGCAGCTCCGCGGGAACACTCAATCTCCACTGGCCTCGTCTGTGGCAAACGGCGGGGGGTGCTGCTCCCGGCTGTCCCCACCCCAGAGCCCT